TAAATAAGGCGTTGTTAATGGCTGTTTGTATGCCAACTGCACCATGCACCCTTTAGTTATCCGTATGCCAACTGCACCTTAGTTATTCTAGTAGAATAACTGACTCCTTGGTGAGCTCGAGTTATGCGTCCCTATGCCAACTGCACCCTTTAGTTATTCTGGTACTAACTCCTTGGTGGGCTCGAGGTTGGGAGAGGCTGAGTTTGGGATTGGTGGGAGAGGCTGAGTTCGGGATTGGTGGGCTCGAGAGAGGCTGAGTTTGGGATTGGTGGGCTCGAGTTTGGGAGAAGCTGCTCTTGGATAAAGAAGGCGTTGTTAATGGCTATTTGTATGGCAACTGCACCCTTTAGTTATTCTAATACTTTTAGTTATTCTAATAATACTGAGGCTGCTCTTGGATAAAGAAGGTGCTCTTGGATAAAGAAGGCGTTGTTAATGGCTGTTTGTCGTGTGGTGTGTTGGGGGGTCCATCAAATGGGGTCACAACCTCACCTATTGCTCCTAGTGATTTGAAAAATCGACGATCTGATCCGGAATTGGGCAAATCATGATCGGGTATGACGTGTTGGGGTCCATCAAATGGGCCACGACCTCACCTATTGCTCCTAGTGATTTGAAAAATCGGCGATCTGATCCGGAATTGGGCAAATCATGATTGGTATCACGTGTTGGGGTCCATCAAATGGGGCCACGCCCTCAGCTATTGCTCTTAGTGATTTGAAAAATTGGCGATTTAATCCGGAATTGGGCAAATCATGATCAGGTATCACTCAAGCCGTCCCAGATCTAAGAAAAAAATGGGATTTGGGAAAATACCCTCTTGGCCCTATTCCCAAACAATTATTGGCAATGATGTTGTTGCACTTCACTTTATATGCTTTTTTTTGTTCCACATCTCTTCGATGTGGGACAATTCTCGTAGCGCAACCCAAAAAATGATGGCATTGATGAGCATATAGATTAATGCTATTAGGTAGGGATGGGTGGGCTCTATAAATAGATCTTTCTCTCTTATAGAAGGACATCTATATATTTATAATATGCAAACTTTCTCTCTTATAGAAGGACATCTATATATTTATAATATACAAACATAAAGTACATATAATTAATATTTAATTACATGTAATTACAAAAATAAAATTCCATATAATAATTTATAAAAATTAACATAATTATATGAAATTGTTGCCCTAGCTCATAGGATATTAAAAAAAAGAAAAAAATAATACTAATACTAGTTTATTTAATATTAAAAAAAAGAGAAAGTTTATGGGATATTTGAAGAGAGAAAAATAACACTAGCTCATACCACTTTAGAATTTATTTCAAGTTGCTTATCAATTATCTCACATTGTAAATATAAAACTTTTTATTTATTTTTCTAATTTTATTAAAATATGATTGCAAATTTATGTTACTAAATTCCATATTTCTATCAACACTAATTATTATATATTAGATTTATTTATTTGTGAGGGTTATACCCTTGTTTTTTAATCACGTTTATTATAATATTGTAATTAATAATTATACTAATGACAATAATAATCAAATATTATATTTTATTTATTAATTTATTTACATTATAAATTATGCAATGTATTTCAATATATAGTATTGTATTTAGTTCGGTTTTAATAAATGTTTGATGAGAATTACAGGAAAAGAACATCTCAATATTCACATATTGATGCAAAAAATAAAATTTATTAATGTAGTACCTTTATTTTTTATTGGATTCCTAAAAAACAACATTTGTAATGATTTTTAATAATTTTTTTGAGTTTGTTTTAAGGTTGAATCCGATCGATTTTCGATCTGAAACACCAATTCACCGATCTAGATGAGTTTTTGGGGTGTCTGATCTGAAGCACCAATCCATTTTTTAAACTACTGATTGCTCCTATTGTCTTGTCATTATTGGATGAGATTGTCCCAATTGATTCATTGGATTGCTCCTATTGTGTTGTCATTATTGGATGAGATTGTCACAATTGATTCATTGGATGAGACTGCCCTGTTATATTGTCTGGAGTCACCCTGTCAATTTGTGGGATGGGGCTACCCTAGGGTGTTTTCTTCATGGGAGGGTTGTCTCCCATCAAGCGGACCATCATAGAAATAATAGTCTTAAAAATATAAAAATATAAATAAAAGAATTGCTCAACTTTATTTAGCCTATAGAACTGGTCAAAACAACCAGTCTGTCTAATTAATTTTACATAATTTTACATATTTTGACCGAACTTCATTTTTCCTTTGCACCACACCAGCAAAGGTATCGATTGGCATTCAACCGGTCCACTCCAATTTTAATTAGCATGATCTTTTTAAGGAAAAATTACATCTGGACATATAAACAAACTGAAAAGTATAGAAAGATGCGTATTTTCTCAAAAATTACATGGAAGGTCGGTTCCCCATAACTCTATTATTTTTTCCATTTTTCCCATCAATCTGATGTTGCCAACATCAGGCCCTTTTTTTTTTTTTTGTCTTATCTAATGTCATGTCTTTTAGGGCACTTCAGAACAGGCCTGATGTCCTAACTATCGGATCGATTTGGAACTTAGGCCTTAGGCCACGGTTACACCATCCACATTTCCAGACCTCAGACCACTTTGTCTTTGGCTTAAGCACAGTAACACTAGTTTGAGGTCCCATACCTGATACTGCATACTAAATTGGGAATTTTCATACCCGTGCGATGTACATCATATTACTCATTTTAGGGCAATTTGATAATTAGGACATCATACCAGTCTCGAAGTGCCTTAAAGTATAAGACACAACCCTACATTCGAGGGGGGAGAAGAAAAAAGGTCCGATGTTGTAAAATCAGTCTGACAGGCTAATTGGAAAAAAATAAAAAAAGCTCAGTATAACTTACCTTCAGTGTAATTTTTGAAAAAATAAGGATCCGATTATCTTGACTCTTCCTCTTCCTCTTTTTAAAATTGAAATCTTGGAAAATGCTTTTCATTTAAATACATTGATGTGAACCACCCCCTACTAGCTAATTTTATTTGAATATGGTTGCCCTTCTCGGTTTAACATCCTAGTAGTGTAAGATTATTTACCCAAAAAAGGCAATAAGTATAAAACACAATTATCAACATCAACTAGGATATCTTCGTTGGAGATGCCAACAGATGCCTCGATTGGTAGTCTAAAGTGAAAATTAAGTTCGATGAAAAACCAGACAAAAACCAATTGTTGACTGACTAGTCATATGGACAAATTTTAGCTAGTCAGACTGATTAAATAAAATCGGCTATTTTACATTTTATTTGTAATTGATTCCTTTTTTAAAAAAACAAAAAAAAAACCAATTCAATTGATTTGACCAGCAATCAAATTAACCAGACCCCTCACCAATTGGCCACTTGTTTCTAAGACCGGTGTAAAATCTCATCGATAATGCGAGATTTCTTTTCATAAAAATCATATCCATCCATATTTCCTTTGCTCTTTTGACTCTTCGTGTTACTTCTCTATATCATCTTATGCTATACAAATTGGTTGAACTTTGCCATTTATTCTACGACTTTTATTTATTGCTTATTTTGCAGGTTCAACAATGAATAACATCTCATTAATAAGGGAAGTTTTCCTTTCTAAAACATAATCTTACACATAATTTATTTTCATGCCTAAGTTGATGGCTAGACCTAGAGTTTTCTACACGTTCCTTTGATCTGCATATTTTCCCATTATGCGTTGATCTTGGTCCATGCCGTGCATCATATGGGACGTGGACAAGTTGCCCCCGAGTTTAGGGTTGGCTGCGATTACATGTTCACAACCGAGCCAAGCTATTGATCTCGGAAAAGAATTACATAAAAAAAGGATGAGAAAATGAACTCTCTTTCTGGATAATTAAAAATAAATAGACACCTGATACCTACATTCCAAAATGAGAGAGAAGTTTTGGCAGGGGCAGCAGAGCTATGAGTTTTGTAACATCATACATGAGTACGACGACCTGGTGTTGCTTGTTGTTGCACCATTAGGCTCCTTCTCAGGGCACTTCTCGGAGTGAGTCAGCAGAGAGTTAAGTGACAAATTGCTGAGTTGCACCTCGAGATATGTGCCCGGACGGCCACATTGATGCTGAGATTTCATTTGCTGCTGCTTTCGATACATGCCTCGCAAGCGCTCCACTTCTTTGGTCAACAATTCATACTGGGCTGCATGGCCATAAACAGAACAGAAAAATGAGTGTGAGAGATGCATTTCCATGGTATATCAATATCTTTTATCTCTTTTCTTTCAAAGAGTTTATGTATGAGTGTACATATGTACTATCTTCCATTTCTTTTGGACGGAAAATATATATCTATCTAATACTCACCATCTTTAAGTCGCTTCTCATGGGCAACGCTATTTAATCGCTGCTTGAGGGCCTTGTTCTCTAGGCTCAATATAATAAGTTGCTGATTAAGGAATGAAATCTCAGCTGACATTTCTGATTCTTCAGCCTGTGGAAAGAAAAGAGAATGCATACTCCTGGGGGAGACATGGAAAACAAAGGCATCTAGAAAACAAAGATAGGCATCATAAAAAAGTTTACCTGAAGGGTGCTCACATTACGCTCTAGCTCAGCAATATATTGAAGCTTTCGAACTCGCGACCGTTGTGCAAAGTGCCTGAATAACATGGGCATTGTGAATTTAACATGTGATACAAGGAGAAAATAATGGACTGATGCTTGCTCAAAGAAATCTATGTACATGCCAATTGTAAAGGAGGACCTACATCTAAAAAACCATAACTTTCTTTTGGGAATTCAACTCAGGAAGTGTGGTACAAAAGCCAACCTACAATATTTATTTCTTATGCCATTCTGTGAGGTTCCAAGTGAAATTCCAGTTGCAGTTGAATATTCAGTACCGACATAGGTGTGCAATTCCATTACTTCCGTTTGTCTCAAAAAGATATCATAGAATCTGACATGCTTTAGTAAGTACTCTAGCAATGAAGAATTCATAAATAAGCAGTTTGCCTCCTAATACATCAGGTTCAACCATATTGGTAAAACACACACACACACACCCACACACACACTCTCACACACTCGCATGTGCTCGTGCACACAACCAACAAAATAAAAAGAAGAAAAAAAATCAGGTTTAAAAATATTATTATCACTTCTCCTGTAGCTGGGGTAACTCCTCAGGGGCCGCAGTCCCTCTATATCATACACAATTATTATTATTATTTTGGAAGTTGTTGACTTTGTAATGTTCTTTCTTTTCTTTTATATACATAGCTGTTATTATTTTTTAGCACCCACAGCTTAATTCAAACATCAAAAATAGAGAGGTGTAACCACACCGAACTTGGATATTGTTACAACTTTAATGGAAAATTGAATTGAAAAGGAAGTTTGTGTTTTGCCTATTCTGAAGTTTCAAATGATAATCGCGATCTGCAGTTTGATAGGATAAAAATTGTATGAAAAGTACTAAGAATGCATAACTGACAAAGTAGACTGAAGTCATATAGGTTAAAAATTAGACCAAGGCAATTTCAAGCCTTGATTTGACTATGGTGATTCGGAGTCGTATATTATTCTGGCCATTACACATGCATATTTCAGTCGTTTTCAATTTAAATTTGGATAAAGAAGGGTATTTGAATTATTGTCATTCTTTGTCCTATAAGGTGGTTTTGGTGATTTCATTGTACAAGTAAATATTTTATTTAAGGGCGTCGATCACTTTAGTTATCGGTTAATATGGATTTTGTTAGGGGTAGGATAGGTTAGTAGGGATCTTTGACTTTGCTCATTTCACGAGTGCCAGCTTCTGTGTATGCTGCCTTCTCTGAGGAGTAGCTTGCAGTTATGCAAATTAATGGTTGATTTTTTTTTTCGGAATCTGTTTACTTTGTCTTGGAAAGTAGTACAAGGTATGCAAGTTACAAAAATGATCAATCAAAAAAATGACCACCCACATGCCGGGTGACATATACAGTAGACTCTGTTAGAGGTCGCTATACAAAATGATATCTGAGGTCAACAGGCCTATACAGAAAGGCTAAAACAGCAGAAATGAAGACCAGAACCAGGTCATAGAAAAAGTCAAAAAAGGTTCCCGATGATTCCTCTGGGTGGTTCACAATGTCTTTTGCGAGTTCGCCTGCTGCTGCCTTTGCTTCCCACCAAGGGTGCATCCATGAGATGTGAAGTCCCTAGAAATATGGGAAATTTGGTCGAAAATGTGTGCTAGCCTCCATAGACGATCCAATGAGCCAGCAGCCCAGTTGATGACATTTTTGGAATCGCCTTCAATGACTATAGATTGGCCCCAACTGTGATCGAAGTTTCAGAGACCTTCAAGGAGAGCTATGGCCTCCACACTGGTGGAATCTGCAAGCCTAATGAACTTGGAATATGAAAAGAGGGTCCGTCCTTCATGGTCCCGGTAAATGCCCCGTATCCCGGCTGGACCCAGGTTGCCTAGGGAACAGCCGTCAATATTAAGTTTTGTCTGCCTTGCTATGGAGGTCTCCAAAGTGAGGCAGAGGGAATGCGAGTGGGAGAGGCACATCATGGCATGCCAATTAAGTTGGAAATCAGTATGCAAGAAGTGTTTGAAGGTTGAGTTGTTCCCGGCCCAGAAGATGACAAGTTCCTTGATCCTATTATTCATAACAAGGGGTGTGGAATGTTCGCCTCGAAAAGTTCTGTTGTTACGATCAATCCAAAGGACCACAGTGTGGCTGCCACTGACGCCTTCCAAAGTAGGTTCCCGATTTGGTCCAAGGGAAGGGGTAAAACGAGCTGAATAACTGAGGGACATTTTCAGGGGTTACCTAGCACCAATTGAAAAGCTTAAGAAGGTCCCTCAAAAATCTCATTGCCACCCTATAATGGATAAAGAGGTGTGCATTGGTCTCTTCAACCTCCATGCACATTACACGTCTGTTGGAATGGGCAGCCGCCTTTTCTGAAGCTGGTCCACCGCATTGTTCAAAAAAACGGACCGCCTAGGTGATCTAGAAGGCCTGGGCCGCCCAGGCCTAGGCGGCCAAACTGGGTGGTGGCCCTGGGCGCCCGCCTAGGCAGTACGGAACCCGCCTAGGCGGCCGCCCAGGGCCTACGCCCCACCCAAAGGCGGAAAAGTATTTCTTTTTTTGTTTTTTCATTTTTTTCAAGATATAAAAGTTTAGAATGATGGGTTTTAGGTTTATTTGAAACCTAAACCCACAAAAACCCCTTTTAGAGAGAAAGAAACTTCCAAAAAACTACATTTCATTAGATTGAATCATCGAAGTGTTTCTCAAAGTTTGGAGTTCGAGCAACCAAAGTAAGTGCATTTTTTAGATTGCTTGTTTTATATTGAGATGTCTTCTTCAGGAGTTAGTCGAAGTGGAGATCCGGGTTGGAAATATGGATACAACACGAATCCAAATGACAAAATTGCGTTAGATGCAATTTTTGTGAAAAAGATACAAAAAGATGCATAAACTAGTTTAAGAAACATCTTGCCGGTATTAAAGGGGAGGTTGCCCCTTGTAAAATGTTCTTGAAGCTATCAAAGAGGAGATTAACAATTTTTAAGTAATGTAAAACAAAAACAAAAACAAAATCTTTGTCATAGATCTATTTCTATTTCTGCTACTTCTAGAAGAAGTGATCCAGGTTGGAAGTATGGGTACAACCCAAAACCAAATGATTTAAATTGTATAAGGTGTAATTTTTGTGAAAAAGATACTAATGGGGGTATTAGCCGATTCAAAAAACACCTTGCTGGTGTTAAAGGTAATGTTGCATCTTGTACAAAAGTTTCTGAAGCAGTTCGGGATGAGATTAGACATTTTTTGAATTTTGACGAACCAGAAAATGATGAAAATAAGCCTTGTTCTATGGAAGTATCTTCTCTAGGTTCTAGTCGGAGTGGTGATCCAGGTTGGAAGTAGGGTTATAACCCGAATCCAAGTGATAAAAATCGTATTAAATGTAATTATTATGGAAAGGATACAAATGGGAGCATTTACCGGTTTAAAAACCACCTTGCCAGTATTAAGGGGGATGTTGTCCCGTGTAAAAATGTTCCCGAGGCTACCAAGGAGGAAATTATATAATATTTGAGTTCAGAGGAGCACAAAGAAAAGGGTAGAGCAGCCAAGACTATTAGGACCTCAAACTGTACATACTAGTAAGAGCAAGGTAGAAGAAGAGGAGGAGGAAGAGGCAGATTCAGAAGAAACAGAGCAGGACGAGTGTTATATTGAAGAGGGAGATGACTGATGATGATGGCCTCGACTCTGATGCATATGATGAGACTTGCCCTATTGATATTCCCTCTGATGATGATGATGATGACGACGACTTAAGACTCTTGCCTCTTGGTGCTGAGTGTTGAGTGTAGAGTCTGTTGATTGTTGTGTTGAGTGTTGACTTTTGTTAGACTATTTATTTTCTATATTTCTGTATATTTCTGTTCTGTTGGATGTTGATTTTTATTTCCTACACTTGTATGGTTTTACAGTTTATTATTTTAACAATATGGATTATCAAAATTCTCTTCTCGATGTCTATCTTTTTTTTTTCAACTTGAAATATGGTGTATTGGTAATTTGGTATGTTTTTTTACTTTTTTTCAACTGGGCAGCCACCCAAGTTCTGGGCGCCCGCCTAGGCGCTGGGCGGCTTGGACCCCCCAGGCTACACAGGACCGCCTAGCACTTTTTGATACACTGGTCCATCGTCAGAGCCCTTGGGCTAGGGCGATCTAGTTAAACACCTGAATTTTCGTGGGAATGAAAGGGAAACAGGCCTTAGTGATAATAAAGGGAGGGAGAGCTAGGAAGGTGGGGCCCAAAAGGAGTTTACACTAGAAAGAGGAAACAGAGAAGAGGCAAGAAGTGGCGGGAGCCCAAATGATATAGTCAACATCCTGAGGGGGAAGAAAGACCGATTGAAGAAGGGTTGACGAGGCTAGGAAGTCTTCCATTTCTCTATTTGTGACGGCCTTTCGGATCCCGGGGTTCCAAATGCGAGAATGATCTAGAGAGTCGAAGAGATCAGCCACAGATCCTTGGCCCAGGTAGGCTATTGGTAACAAGTTTGGGAAATGTGTTCATCGAGAGTAAAATTGCCAATCCACAAATATAACCACAATCTCAAACGAGCCCCCTCTCTAGGTCAAAATTTAATGTTTTCTCTAAAAGTGACAGACTGCGAAGAATTGATCTCCACATGCTCTGAGGGTTGACCACCTGCCCTACAACATGGTAGCCACAGAGAGTGGATTCAATATTGGCATCGGAGGACTTCTTGCCACAAGTGATTATCCTCGGTGGTGAAGCGCCACCACCATTTGCCAAGGAGGGGAATGTTGTTCAGTTTGAGGTTACGAATACCCAACCGCCCCTAAACTTTTGGGGAGACAGACTCTTTCCCACGTTATAAGGTGGAACTTTTTGCTTTCCATATCTCCCGACCAAAGGAAGTCATACATCAGCTATTCTAGTCGGAAGGCCACCGAGGAGGGCATATGGAATAACTACATCTGAAAAATGGGGACATTAGATAGGGTTGCTTTAATAAGAGTGATTCTCCTCGCGCTAGAGACAAACCTGCCTTTCCAACTAGTGAGATTTCTATGGAACTCTCCATTGACGGTTTTTGGGCTTCCCA